ACTTTTACAGCGAGGGAGAGGTTGTCCACTCCGGCGTTTCGGTCTTCCGTCGCCCACGCACAGGCAGCCGAAGCATAATCGGAGGTGATTTGCTCGTGTTCTCGTATCAATGCCTCCGACATTCATGGAAGGTTACAACGGATGAGTGTCAGCCGCAATAATCTTATTATCGATGACATTGTTCCTCATTAGAACAATGACCAAGGCGAAGCGAAGTATCGACCGACCACCCTTCCCCCTTTTTTTCCCGGCACCCCAAATAAATAAATAAATAACGCTTCGCGCGATGTCCAGTGCGTTTCGGCTCATTTGGCACATTCGGTGTAGCTTTGTTTTTGTAGGCTCCAGTCGAAGGGAACAAAAGTGGCGATGCAGGTAAGTTGATTCATGACTATAGTCACTCGCAACTCAAGCAGGTAGAGCGAGGGAAAGGAAGGCCGTGGAGGAAGAAGCAGATGGAACGCTGGAGAGGAGGGGGGAAACCTCCTTCTCTCTCCAGCGTTCCGTCTGCTTCCTCCTCCACGGCCTTCCTTTCCCTTGCCCTACCTTCTTGAGTTGCGACTCACTATAGTTAGGGTGAATAAAGCTCGCAGAAGGACGAAGAGAAGAACACAGGACGAGCGCTAAACTAACAACTGAACTTCTCTCGAAAAAACGGCTTGTGTAAGTTTTTTGCTTGAGCCGTTTTTTTCTTTTTTTCAATAAAAGTGTAGTTGTTAGTTTAGAGCTCGTCCTGTGTTCTCTCCGCCTTCGTCGTTCTGTGAGTGTATTTACCTTAACCAGTCGAAAGGTATTGCGATTGGATGCATGCTTTCCATGACGTCAAAACACAGGTCTGTCCATATCGAATGACGTAGTTCCCCCATTTCTTCAATGAAATTTGTGCGTGTGTGTGTGTGTGTGGGGGGGGGGGGGGGGTGCTCGCCTTTTACGACATAATACTTCTGTACCTGTATTTTATCTACAGCCTTCATAGGATTGCGCACTGCAGAGCCCGTCATGTTCCGGTCTGTGACGTCACGCCATCCGGATGTCTGATTGGTCCTCGTGACGCGTAATCATCGTGGTATAGCGCAGTAACCACTACAGTCACCAGGGCGTTGGAGTAGATCGTCCCGATTCCTCGGGTAACGGTGCGCGATGACCAAACAACGCATGCGCAAAGATGTCGCCGAAGTCTCGGGTATCGTTATCGGAGTTGTCGGAACGAACTACTAAAACCCCCTACTGACACCTTAAAAAACGGAGGACGTGGTTTATGATGTTCACGCTTCTGGCCTCCTGATCGGTTCTTCGGCATTCTTGCCGGCTAATGTCGAAATCTCATTGGCTGTTCAGCGATAACGAAGACGGCTCGACACGCCAGGAGATCATTAAGTTGTCGGCGACGGTAGCATCCTAGAGCGAAGTCAGTTCGCGGACTGCTTATCTCAACTCGTTTATTGCCCCGCCCCTGGCTATTCGTCAGTAAGTTCGGGTACGCCGTTACCTGATTGGCCTTCAAACGATATTTGATTCGGCACTGCTGCACTTTTTTCACGCTGTTAATAACAGCACGAATACGTGGCTTTTGCCCCTGAGCGCGTATACCTTCAGCAAAATAAATGTTTCGCACCACCGAATTTGAGAATGACCACCCGCATATCGCCCAATGACGTCAGGCACAAGCGACACGTGAAAGTATTAAGAGTGCTTGAAACCTAAGACCTTTCGCGATCCCGACGATGACGAGTCGGAGCGTTGCGAATGGACGCAGGAGACCGGTCATATCGGCACTCGGATCGCTGCGTTCCAAGTTCGTCAACGTTTCGGTCAACAGCGAATGTAACCGCGCAAACGTGCGAGTTGCCTAGTTTTTGTGTACATGTTTGCACCCTCCCTCAGGCGTGCTCGATTAGCGCCGTAAATATAGCTGCGCGGCGGGTCATCGCTTGCGTTCCGTCGGCGTCGCGCGAAGAGACCCTTCTGCGCGATGCCCTAACCGCTTCTGGCGGCTCCTGTCGGTTATCTCGTCGCTTGTCGCTCAATCTGGCCTCACGAAGGTCGCGTGGCTCGGATGCGAGACGGTGCGGTTGGGCCATCCCCCCTTCGCTTCTTCGAATGCCGACGAGCGCCTTTTATTTTTATCCGCCTTTGCGCCTGTCCCCTCCTTCTATTAACGAGATACAGCGACGCCCGACTGAAATTCAGCTCGATTGAAATTCAGCTGGCGAGTCTCCGCTGTAAACATTAGCGCGTCGTTTTTTTTTTTTTTTGTGTGTGTGTGTTTGTCTTTTGTTGTTGAGGAGCGGCGGCACTTTTAGAGAGCGCGCGGGCGATGGCGTGTGGCTCTCTCGATCTGCACCCTCGCTTTTGCTCTTTCGCAGAATGATCTGTCTCGTTTTCGCTTTGTTTCTGTGCTGGGGGGTATGCGGGCTGCAGCGCGGCTGTGGACTGCGGAGCACGGCGGATGCTTGGTTCGTTAGGTGGCCCGGGAGAGAGCGTGCGCGCGTGCATGCCGTCTGACCGTCTGTCGGAGTGCTGGAACGTTGCGAACTGAATGCGTCCGCTCGGCTCTCCCGTAACGGTCGGCCAACGTTGAGACTCCGTGGGGCCGATTCTGCCGAACCGAAATGGGACTGCGGTGGAAGCATGCTTCGTTAGCTCGGCGTGAGGGCAGAAATATGAGTCGGTGTACGAATTTGAAAAACCCCCTCCACGCCGATATAGTGCGCACCGAATGCTGCGCGATTATTTTCCAAGCCGTGCGAATGACACTTCGTTGTATTTTGTCCTCCCTTACTGACTGGTACACGTTTGGTTGAACAACGTGCTAATCATGAATGACGCCAAGAGGAGTGGAACGGCACGTCAGGTGTGTTATTGTATTCACAGTCCCCCAGCTTCGTTCACAATGTTAGTTGGAAAACGAATATCTCGGAAAGCGACGATTAAAGTCTGGATACTTAAAAATTTAAATTAATGTCTCCGGCTTTACTTACACTCCGAAGGAAAGGCTTTAATAAAGTTTCTTCACTGTTCATACCAAAGGCACGCGCGATTTTATACCGCAGCATCGAGGTCGAAGAGGGATGCCAGATCAATCAACGCATGAGAGAGTAAATTATCGGGTTCAGTTTTACTATTGTCGCGACAATATTTCCAAAACATAACGCAAACGTTTTCGAATATGGTTGGAAGACTAAGCTAAGATGCCACGTTTCCCATGATAACGTCGACTGCCACTATACGAGACCTCCGACGGGTTCCTTTTCGAGCTGTTTCAGCGAGTGCTGGACCCCAATTACGGAATGTTTTTCAATCCCACGTAATAGCGCTCATTTCGTGCGCGTGGAAATATCCGAACGCTGCCTTTGGTACGCCGCGAAGAGAAACATAGCTCGGGGCGACGCTTTAGCGCGGACCATCTGCCGTTTGGACGTACGCAACTCGCAAGGTCCGACTCGGAGCAACAGCGACCGACGCGTGTTTTCGAACTACCAACTCCTAGGGTGCGGAAACATGTAGGCACCCTACCAACTCCGATACACCTTATGACCGCCTTATTCCCCCCCCCCCCCCCCCCCCCCCCCCTCGAGGGTCACCTGACACTCGCGTGGCATTGGATTGGCTCAGATGGCTCGAAGACACCAGCGGCCTTCGCCGCTCCTTCGTTCCTGCCAACAGCGCCTAGAATACGAGTCCTGCGCACGACGTTATCGTTCGTGGCTTCCCGATCCCCAACACGCCGAAGATTGAGAGACCCCGCAAAGCGGGAGAGGCGTTCGTCTTGCCGTAGCCGTGTGCTAGCGTCGCACACGTCGCGAGACGCAAGCGAGAGACGGCGCCTCGTGGGTTCACAAGTGATGACGTTGTCGGGATGGAAAGGCCTTTTCTTCCAGGTAGTTTTGGCCCCATGCTCGGAAAGGGCCGCGCGAGTCTCTCGGGGACCGCTGCCGCTGCCGTCTTCTCGGATCGAGGCGGCTCGCGAACAAGAGTCGGCGTAACGAAGAAGCCGCGCAGTTCTTCCTTCGGCTGGCTGGCTGCGGCACGGCAACTACACGGGCCAAGGTTTTCTTTTTTTCCTTTTGGGCATCTCTACTTGTTTGCGTCCGCCGCGCGTACCGTTGGCGGAAGCTATCGAGAGACTGCGCGGTTCGGAAGGAGGGGTGTCTTTCTGGGAGAATCGACGAAGGCGCGGAAACAAATTGACGTGGTTTGTTCGGGGGGAGACAGACGACTCGGCTGAAGAGTCTGCACCGTTGGGCTGTAATGATTTCGAAAAGAACAGCGGCGGGCTACGACACACGGGTGGATAGAAGGCCGAATATTGGATGATTTGGATTACACCAAAAACGAAATAAAAGAACCTCGTCATCCCACCTCTGTTTAATTGGTTTCGACACAAACGTTTTTTTTTTTTTTTTTTTTTAATTATTGCGGGTTTTTTTAGCTTGAGTCGACGTGTTCCGGGTCGAACCCGTTTGGCCCGAGGTTTCTCATCACTATTCATTGTTTTATATTCGGCTCTCGTTACCCACCTTCCCCCCTCCACGTCCTTTCGAAATAAACACGTTAACAACGGGCCGGTATCCTGATCGAAAAATAGCGATAAATAACCCGCTTCAGTGCCGCGACATAAGAGGTAGGCTGCGGATCAGTGGCGTAGCCAAAGAAAGTGCTTATGGGGCTTCAGCCATGGTCATCCCAGACACCTTAGCCCCCCCCCCCCCCCCCCCCCCCCCCCCCCGAAAGAAATGTCTGGCTTCGCCGCTGCTGCGGTTCATGACGGTTGTATTGCCGAAGAAAACAGATCCGCCGAACCGTCTAATCGCATCAAACACAAACCGACAAAAAGCACCCAAAGGCAAACACAAAGAAGCTGTTTCACCTGGGCGCCCGGACGGCAAACTCAAAAGCCATCAAAAAGCGAAAAAAAGCTCCCAAAAAGGCGCGCGTACGATCTCCCCGTTTCGCACGGAGCAGAGCCAAAGGAAACCGAGCGGTTCTTCTCCCCTCACCTGCTGCGCAAGATCCCGCTGCGCGACGGCTTGCTTCTGAAGGAGCACCCGAAGCTCGGCGCGTTCCCCGGTCGCCTGCGCCTCGCGGGCCTGCTGCTGCTGTTGCGTCGCCCGCAGCGCCCGAGCCTCGTTCCTGAGCTCGGACAGGTCGGCCCTCAACGTGGAAGCCTCCCGCTCAAACTCCCGGCTCAGACTCAGCGCCGCCGTCACGTTGGTGTCCTTGGCGAGCTCGGCCAGCTCCGTCTTGAGCTCTTCCATCGTGCTCCTCAGCCAGTCCACCGAGGCCCGGTGCGCCCGGTCGCGAGCCGCGGTCCTGGACACCTCGTCGGACTGCTCGGACCTCAGCGAGTCGAGCTGGAGCTGCAGCTTGTCCACGTCAGCCCTGAGGAGCGCCTCGGCGTCGACGGGACGTTCCCGGTCCTTCACTACCTGGTTGAGGTCGAGCTTCATCCGCCTGAGCTGTTCGCCGAGGGTGTCAAGAGCGGCGCGCTCGTGCTCCAAAGCGCGCAGGGACCGCGCGAAGGCGCGCTGCTCCTCGTGGTGCCTTTTAGCGTGATGATGATGCGTTGCCTCCGGAGCCGCGACGGTCGGCGACGGTGTCGTGGTCGCAGTCGTCGAAGACAGCCGCTCTTCTAACCTGCGGAGAAGTAATCTGTCCTGTTCGCGCGCTCGCTGGAGCGCCTGGAGTTCGGCCCGCAGTTCGCGGACCACGTGTCCCAGCGTGGGGTCGGAGCCGCCGATATCCGATGCGCAGCGCACTGCTCCGAGACACAGACACAAGAGAACTGTCGACGCGGGCACGAGGAACCACCGCATCGTTTTCGTCGGAAGGAACAAAAGCGAGGTAAACAGGATGCTGACGATCAGAGAAGGCTCGGGCTTGTGTGGGACTTTGAAATATCCATCATCGAAGTGGTGGCAACGCGGGATTCACTTAAGGACGCCGACGAAACGATCACACGTTTTTTTTCTTCAAGAGACACGGGATGGAGAAGAGAGTGGATGCGAGCACGACGGAGCACTTCTCCACGTCCGTTATGGTTCGCGACGAATCTGCGTTTGGGAGCGGACGGCGCGGCGCGGCCGGCTTTCTCTCTTCGGCCGCTCTCTCTCTCTCTTTCTCTCTGTGTACACCTCCTCTCTCTCGAATGCGGCTCCTCCCCCCCTTCTCATCTTTGCTCGGGATCTGCACCTGGCGGCTGGACGCCGCGCTCTTGGTTGGATGACTGTCGAACTTTCTTTTTGGTACTTCTGTTTCTTTTATTCACTTTTTTTTCTTTAGAAAAGGGGGAGGGGGAGGGAGGAAGGGAAAAAGATGGGGCTGGGGTAGACACGGGAGACGGGGCAAGGGAGATAACAAGAGGAGGGGAGGAGAGAAAGGGGGAGGGGGGGGGGGGGGTTGAACCCCCCGAAACGTATGGCAGTGGCTCTTTCATAATACATTTCGATTTGAATTGTCCCATGTGCTTTCTTCTTTTTTTTTTTTTTCCCCTTTTTTTTCTTGTTTTTATGGAGTCTCTTCTTTATTTGATTTCGAGGATCCAATTGTTGTTGCTCTGGTTCGGGATATCGGGAGCCGGGCGGCTGCTGGGGGATTGGGGGAGGAGGGAGGGGGAAAGGGTTCATGGTTCTGAAGGTACGTCTGGTGCACCCCTCTTGTCTGTCCTCTTGGTAGTTGCGAATTTTCCATCTTGGTGTGCGATGTATACGCGTGTCGTTCTGCGCGTTTAGTTTTTCTTTAAGTTGTTTTCTTCATTTTGTTTGTTGCCTAGCATCTTCTAATGTGATTTACAATTTTTTATTTTTTTTTTCGGTTCAGAGTGGGAGACGACGACGGGGGAGTTGTGGCTGAAGAGTACTGCTTGGCGCATTCTGACTGCTTAAATTTTGTATGTGACAATATTTTTTTCCGTTTTAGATTATGTATAGTTTTTAGCGCAAACGTTTTTTTCTGTTTCTTCTTTTTTTTTTTGCGTATATACAGGTACGCGTTTTTCTTTTCGTTACGCCTTTGACGTATATGGGCTAAGCTTCCTTAGTGACGGTCTTCTGATTTTTCGTCGTTTTTCTTCTGTCGCTTGCGCGAGTCGATGTTTGTCGCTTTTCGATGTCGGGCGCGTGAAGCGCTGACCGGTTGGGCCGTGCGATGAAATCGAAATGGACAAGACACGCTTTCTAACTTTTCTTTTACATTTTATATGGCCTTTTTTATTGGTTGGGCGTTTTTCGAATGAAGAGGGAGGGAAAAGGAGGGGGGGAGGGCAAAATATGTGAGGTGGTCCTTCTTTATTTCCACGGGCTTTCGATTCAGCGTGTGTTTGAGGTTGCTGGTATGAAAATTCCAGAAACACTTTGTAGTCTCCCAGATTGTCACGAATGCGCACACGCTTTCGTTCGTCCTTTTTTTGTGCCGCTAAAGTCACGCATATGCGAGAAGCAGAAAGAGGACGCGTTCGGTGGAAAGTATCAGAATTTTAAACTGCTTTGGATGCCCGTTTTTGTAAAGCGTTTGTACATAGCTTCACGTTTCTATGTTGTCTCTTTATTTCTCGGTTTAGAGGCATATGTTACAGACTTCTTTTCGTATCTGTTTTAGACGTATCTTCTTTTCGGGTTAGCGGTTAGCTTTGGAGTGAATCGGGCCATCCAGCTTTTGTCTTCTAACAATTCGAGGTATATTTATGCAAACTTGCGTGGCTGTATTTTTTTTGTAAAGCTCGAGGGGCAAGCTTCTTAACACTTGTCTGGGAAGGGACCTTTTTCTTATTTTTCTCTGCATAATAAGCATGTCCTTCAGCATTCGCAACATTTTTTTTTTTCTTAGAGCGGGATTGGCGAAGGTTACCGGTCGCGTATGCTGTCTAGAACAAAATAGCTGTACGGGAGTTATATACTCTGAGGTTTATAATTGTTTTATGGTACTTTAAATGAACTTTCTAATCGCATTTTCACGTCATTGCTCCGCGTTTTAGGCTGTGAATAGTTTGACCAGTTGTTGAATTGGTTGCTTCGTAAAAAGATTTCACATTCGGCTAACAGTGCTCTACACCAGGGGTTTTCCAAAGCCCGGCCCGCGGGCTAGTTCCAACTCGCGGAGGTCTTCAGACAGGCCCGTGGCTGACGACTTAAAGTCTTTCCAATGAAGCCCGGTTCGCGGCCCCCCACTCTTGGCAAGCAGGCCCGCTTCTACCGGCGGACAAATAAGCGCCCGTAAAGAAACGGTTCAACGCGGGGTTTCGGACCATATGATTCATTGGACATTGTCACCGCCAGCATCAGCATTCTTAGTCCCCTCTTTCATATTTGTGTAACTACATATGTTAAACTTCCTTTCCGTTCCCACGTACATTGCACTTAGTGTTGTGCGTCGTATTTACTGCATATTGGCAGCATTAGTGCTATCATTCTCGTTAGTGTTCTGCCCTCTTTGAATATGCAAACTTCCTGTGCGCTTTGATTTTTGCCCGGTGAGTTTCTGGTTCCCAATTTTTGTATAGTGTCTTAATTATCTATATATTGAATTAAACAAATTTAAATTTACCCATCCACCTTATATTCTTTATTAAAATTAATATAACTTTCAGTTTTGGAATTAAATACTTATTTAGAATTATTTATTTAGTTTTTCTTGCTTTGTATCTACTCATTTATTTTCCGTCTCTCGAGACAGCGACAAATCCCCGATCCGGCCCTTTAGCCAAAAGGGTTTGAAGACCTTATGGGCCCTAAACTCGTCAACCACTAAGTTGGAGCAGAAAGTTCGCGGAGCGAAACGTCGGCGAAAAAAGCGCGAAGTCATCGTCGTGATAGGCCAATCTGTGCGCTCCGTCAACTTCGGCCAAAACTTTGTGTTTGACGAGTTTAGAGGTCCCGGGGCCCTAAACTCGTGAAACACAAAGTTGGGGTCGAAGTTCACGGAGCGCACCGATTGGACTATCACGACGATGACTCGACGATATTGCCCACGGGGCCCTCAAAGAAAATAAATGATGATGATGATGATGATGACTTCGCTCATTTTTCGCCGGCTTCCATTCGGCGCGCTCTGCGAACTTTCGGTTCCAGCTTTGTGTTTGACGAGTTTAGGGCCCCTGCTCTACACATATGAAAATGAAATGCCTGCGCACGTATTTTTCAGGGAGCACGTTTTTTATCTTCTTTTTCTTCCGTGTTTAAGGATCCGTCTCTTTATCGAAGAAGTATCGCCCGCTTCATAGCATAAGAATTCGCTTTGATGAGACGCCGACCGTCATTCCTTTGAAAGGTCTCCTCGCGTGCGTCGTTGGCCGATCAACTGTGCTCTGTTCACCCCTAAGCCGACAGCACAGGGGAAGCTACGTGCTCGATGGAAGTTGTCATACCTCTACCTTCGGCCACGTGATCTCTGTCTCCCGCCCATAACCACGTGCAGAGAGCGGGATCAGGTGGTGAAAGGGAGGCGGTCGATTGGTTCTGCGAACCCGTACCTGCCACACAGGTAAAAGATGAACGGGTCGTAATCGAGGCTGACGAAACGCCGCGATCTTTTGGGTAAGTGCAGAGAGGGTGAAGGCCGTTATATGATATGATCCAGGGAAGGAAGGAGGGAGGCACCGGCGGAACAGCCGTTCTTCTACGCGGGCAATCCTTTGATGCAGCTTCTTTGCACCGGCCGTGCGTCGCGGAGTTGGTCCGCTCCGGCACTGGGTAATGCGCTTTGTCTGCTTTCTGCTCACGTCGGCCGCCGGTTTTGGCGGGCAAGGATTTTCGGCACCTTCTTTCTCTCTCGCTGGCCCGCTTTGCAGATTAGGGCCGGACGTCACCGGAACGTTGAGCCGATTTGGTGCTGGCTTTTCCTTTCACGCTTCCCTCGTTTGTTGCCAGGGTCCGTTGTGCCTTTTTTCATCTCTTTCTGTTCGTCGGGATCTTCTTATTTTCTTTTATACCACAGACACCGTTGCAGGTTCAAGCACAGGGACAACCACGCGTAGACGGATGCTTGTGTGCGTGAGCGTATGTTGTGACAGAGATTTTGTGTTTCTTCAGTGTATATATCTGAGTGTTTACACATGTGTGTAGGGAACAGACACACACACACATGAAAAAACGAACGCATCTGCGGATGAACATTATTATCTGGTGTCCACAATCTCCCGAAACTATTAGATCTACGCTACGTAGATTGATCGCTTTTAGTTTTGGATTCATCTATGTCGACGTCAGACTTAAAATCAATTTGGTACGGAAAACAATCAAAACAAATTACTTGGACGCGTCGGGCGAACACGGTGGGTGCGACAACAGCAACACATCTGTTTCTTTGCTTTTTACACCTCCAGTCGTCGCAGTGTGCCGCTGCTGTCGTGATGGGAAGCACTGGCAGAACTCGAGCTCACTGCCAGTCTGCCACGTACTGTATTTTTCGCCGCACGGCGAATTATGAAGTCTGAGAGGAAGTCGTCTGCTTCTTGCACTGGGGTTCCGGTGACGTCAGAACGACGCCGAGTTCTGATTTGTTTTGATTGGAAAGATGGTGTGTAGGCCCTGGTAAACCTCAATGCTAGATGTGTTGATTTTTATATCCGCCAATAAGAGCTAGCTTGGCATTCTGACGTCATCACAACCCCTGTGCAAGAAGCAGACGAGCTGGCGCTCCGCGTAACACCACAAAATGCTCAGTCGCATCTTGCTATTGTTCGGGTCCACCCGTTCGCCGTATATGACGTGCAAGTTCGTCTGCTTTTTGCGCACCTCGTGCTTTTGTTTACCGTCCAGCAGAGCCATATATAGAGAGAGTTTTGCCATAGATTAAGAAGTATAGAGGCAAATGAGGAAGCACCATTGATCGTGTTCCAGGGCGTCTTCACAAATTCGAATGTGGGCAGCCAGAAGCCGCGAATATTATTACCCTGGCGGTGGTCGCGAGAAACAAAATTAATAAGTGCGTCTGAGGATAAATCTCAGCGACTGAAAATATGGTGCACGTGATTTTTCGATTCCGGTCATGCAAAATAAAAATCTAGCAGAACGATCGACGCAATCCGTACTCCAGGCGCCGAGGGCCGGGATTCTGCCGTCCGAG